GAAAGAAAGAAAGAAAGAAAGAAAGAAAGAAAGAAAGAAAGAAAGAAAAAGACAGGAGCTTCGAAACGTCTAGAGGTAAGGTTGGATGGATAGAGCCGGGAAGCGCCCTCTGGATCCGAGCTTCCTCCGGCTTTGCAGCGGATCGCTGGGCGGAAGGGCGGCGTGGGGGGGGGGTGGACCGCAGCGATTTAGAAAGGCCACCCGGTCCAAAGCGGCTTGGGAGGTTCCGCCAGAGAGGACAGCAGCCTCCTCCTCCTCCACCACCGGTTTGGCTGGTCTTGGTGCTGCTGCTGGTGATGCTGGTGCTGCTGCCGCCGCCGCCGCCACCGCCGCCACCACATCGCTCGGCTCTCTTCCTCTCTTTTTCTCTCCTTCCTGCCGCCGCCGCCGCCGGTTTGCTGTTGGCTGCCTCGGCGCGTGTCTGCGAGGGCTTTGCGCTTTGCGCTCGCTGCGGTTGAATTTCAATCCGCTCGCCTGCCCGAGCCCTGCCCTGCCAGTCGAGAGGAAATCAACAGGCAACTCATGACTGAGCGCAGAGGTTTAAAAAAAAGAGAGAGAGAGAGAGAGGTGGGGGGGAGTGTGTATGTGTGTGTGTGTGTGTGTGAGAGAGAGAGAGAGCCAGCCGAGGGAGGGGGCGACGGCGAGGATACACGCACACACACACGCGCACACACACACACACGTATACAAGCGAGCGCGAGCGCGCGCGTCCCTCGAGCCTCTCCAAAAAAAAAAAAAAGCCAGAAGAAAGGGGAAACGCGCCTTGGCATTCGTGGAGCGGCTCTCCTCGCTTCCTCCTCCTTTCCTTTCGGCTTAAGGCCACTTTGTTTGTCCTCTCCGGGCCGAAGGGGCTCGCTCTTCCACCCGGCTTCCCATCTTCCCCCGGTGTCTTTAAAAACCCCAAGATGAAAATCCTCCCTTAAAAAAAAAAAAAAAAAAGCAAAAGGCGGGAAGGAAACGGATGTATAAAATGTAAAAGCTGCAAGGTGCTTTTATTTTTTCCACCACCACCCCTCTCTCTCTCTCTCTCCCTCACCCCCTCCTTCCCCCCCTCTCCCTCCCTCTCTCCCTTTCTCTCTCTCTCTCTTTTTGCGGTACGTGCCGAGCAGGCAAACGAGAGTGTCGCTTGGCAAGGCAACCTTACGGGTTGGATTGGGGAAGACCAACTGGATTGAAGATTAAATTAAAAAATTAAAAAAAAACCATCCAGACAAGCCTCCTCCCTGGATATAGCGGAGCAGAGACTAGAAGTCGGGAATCCCAGCAACCGGGCAAAGCCCGGCGTTAGAGGCCACAAACCGCAGCAAGGTGTTGCTAGCTGCTGGGGCAGGAGTCAGAGGGAGCTGTCCAAAAAAAGCAGGAGCTTTTTTAAAAAAAAAGAAAGAAAGAAAGAAAGACAAAAAAAAAGGGAGGGATTCAAAGCTCCTCGTGGGGCGCGTGGCGCGGGCAGCCCTTTCCCTTCCTTTCACCTTTTGCACGCTCGCACGCGAACCGAGATGACAAGCCACAAGTGAGAAGCAACGAAGGGTGTGTGTGCGCGACGTCCTTTATTATTATTATTATTGTTGTTTTTAAAGTCAACCAGAAAAATAAATAAATAAATAAAAAGAACCGGAGATGTTGCAGGTCCGCTTTTTGCCATCCTTCCCCAACCCAAGAGGGAGACCCAAATAATTTAAACAACAACAACAACAAAAAACTCAAAATACCCCCCACCCCCCCCCCCCCCAGTCCCCAGCAGTGGTTGGGCTTGGAAAGTCTTGGCCTCTCTCTCTCTCTCTCTTTTTTCCCTCCTTGAGTATTACGTGTGAAACTCCCGACTCGGAAGGCGGGGCACAAGCTCAAATCCACCCAGCCAACCCTAACCAACTCCCCTTCCTAGGCGAGCCATCACCACCACCATCATCATCATCATCTTCCAATTTCGACCCGGGATGGATGGATGGATGGAGCTAGGAGAGAAGAGTTTCTCTACCTGCGGTTTACTTCTGCCTCCTCCTCCTCCTCCTCCTCCCACCCCCGCGCGCCAACCCTGGCTTGCGTGGCTCTTCTCCCTTTGGACTGTTGAATTATTATTATTATTAGTATTATTTTTCGGGGTTGTGTTTTAAGATACAACGGGGTGAGGCTACCGAACCCAGCGCGTTCCAATCCGGAGAGAGGGAAAGCCTTTTGGATCCCAGAAGCAACAGTTGGGAATGGAAGAAAGAAGAAGAAGAAGAAGAAGAAGAGGAGGAGGAGGAGGAGGAAGAGGAGGCGGTGATGGTTAGAGGGAGAAAGAAAGAAAGAAAGAGAAAAAAAAACAGCGGCGGTAGGAAGCGCCTCCTCTTCTGCCGCAGTCGCCCAGGCAGCCCGCGCCACCTTCCCACCCGCCACGGAGCTTCTGGCGGACTGACTTCCAGTCACCCCACGCGCGTCGCTTAAACATTGATCCCGAGCCGCCACCGGCCAATCCCGAGCCGAGGAAAAGGAGCCGGCCTCCTCTAGAAACAGCCAATCCACGGAGGGCGTCTGGCGGAGAAAAGGGAGGGGCGGGGAGACCCCCCCCTCCCTTCCCTCTCCCCCCCTCCCACTGGAAGGGTGGGTGGGCGCAGAGCCCAAGAAGAAGAAGAGGAGGAGGAGGAGGGGGGGGAAGACGGAGACCCAGCCGTGCAAAAGGGGGCAAAACCCCGGTGTTGTGGGGGGGGGGGGGGGGTTGGCTTTTTTTCTCCCCCTTCCTCGCCTGCTCGGCGATGAGCATCTTTGGAGCATCGCGTTTGCTCCGCCCTGCAGCCTGGAAGCCGGTTGGGAAGCTTGGTTACCTACGCCCAGATGCCCCGTTCAGACGTTTGCCGGCTGCCCGCCCAACCTTTGGCGTTTGCGGCTGGTTACCTAGCGGCTCTCCCCGCTCTGGGGGAGAGGGGGGGTCTTCCTCGCGTCTCCCCCTGCGAGTCCTTGGAGCAACCAGGGCGGAGGGAGCGTTTAGATCGCTCTACCGCGCTGGCGGGGCGAGGCTCGCCAGCCCGCCGCTGCAGCTCACCTGCGTGTTTTATTTTTTTATTTTTATTACTAGCTCGATACCTGTGCTTCTCTGCAAAAAGTATGTGATGGGGCTTAGTTTTTTTGGGAAGGAAAATAAGGAGAAATAATAATAATAATAATAATAATAATAATAATAATAATAATAATAATAATAATAATAATAATAATAATAATAATTCTTCCTCTGCCTAACTAACCAGCATCGGTAGGTATTCATCTGGCTAGCATCCTGTCAGGGTGTGAGAGAGTTGAGGGCTGTTTGGAAACTGAAGCAATAGTTGCTGTGTGAGCAAGGAGACAGCAAGGAGCCTGGGCCTGGCTTAGCTCTACTGTTCTGTACTAAAGCTGGTTGCTGGTGTGAAACTAAAACTGAAACTCCTCGGCTTGTGTTTTGCATTTGGAAGAGATTTCTTTTCAGGTGGGGAGGGGGAGTAGAACTCCTTAGCATCAGAGCATATTAATAATAATAATAATAATATAGGAAATGTTATTGCTCTGATGGTCATTTCAAAAAAGCCTTTCTTAGTGAGCACCTAGAAGCCAAGAGGAAGATACGGACCAAATTTCAAGGTTGTGGGCTTTACGGTTCTGGAGTTTTTGTGATGATGCATGAGTGGTCTTTTGCATAGATAGAGAGAGAGAGAGAGAGAGAGAGAGAGAGAGAGAGAGAGA